TGTTAAGTGGGAATCTTGCCGCTCGACTGAAGAAAGTTATGACTGTCTGGGAGGGGCCACAAATCCGCGCGGCTGGAGGTCATTTAATTACACCGGTCGGCAGGTGCACAGCAAGAATCCAGATACGAGGAATTACGTTCATCGCCAGTTTTGTCGTTCTCAAGGAGTGTTCAAGAAAAGTTATACTCGGAATGGACTTCCTCGGAGAGAACGGCGCACTCATAGACCTACGTAGGCAAATGATCGCATTCTCCACTGCACGATGCGTTGAAGAGGAGAATTCAACACTACGGCGTTCTCCACTCCGAGTAACAGATGACCACGTTTGTCTCCCGCCATGTAGCAGCATGCTCGTGACTGTAAGAACCGACGAGACTGCCTCTTCAGGAATCGCCGAGGCGAACTCTTCTCTTCTGCTGGAACAGGGAATCTGCATAGCCAGGGGTCTCGTTCATATCCACGACGGACAAACTGAGTTATTACTTACGAACTTTCGCTCCGAACACCAGCATATTTCCCGTGAAACTACCATCGCCTACCTTGAGGACGTCGCTGATGTCAGTGGGTCCTTTTCACTAGAAGCTTCACTGCCAGGCAAGATAACGACAACCTCCACAAGAACATTTGACGTTAATCGTGAGCTCCCAGAAAAAGAAAAGGAACATCTGCTGGATCTTTTACATAAGTATAATGACTGTTTTTCATCGTCATCGAAGGTGCGCCGGACGACTGTCGCCAAACATCGGATCATCACGGATGAAGCAACAACGCCGAAACGACAGCCACCGTACAGGGTCTCGCATAAGGAACGAGAAACGATACGGCAACAGGTCGAAGAAATGCTCCATGACGACGTTATACAGCCATCAAAAAGTCCCTGGGCATCGCCTGTTGTGCTTGTGAGAAAAAAATATGGTACACTACGATTTTGCGTAGACTACCGTAAGCTAAACACGGTCACCAAGAAGGATGTATACCCGCTGCCCCGCATAGATGATACTCTGGACAGGGTGCGTGGTGCGAAGTGCTTCTCATCGATGGATCTCAAAACAGGTTATTGGCAGATCGAAGTTGATGAAAGAGACCGAGGGAAGACCGCTTTCATTACGCCCGATGGTCTTTATGAGTTTAAGGTCCTTCCGTTTGGACTATGCTCGGCGCCGGCCACATTCCAGCGGATGATGGATAATGTTCTTGCCAACCTCAAGTGGCAAACATGCCTTGTGTACTTAGACGATGTCGTAGTGTTTTCCACGAGCTTTGAACAACACCTGAATCGACTAGAAGCTGTACTGCAAGCCATAAGGACCGCTGGCCTCACACTTATGCCGGAAAAGTGCCATTTCGCATTCAAAGAGCTCAAATTCCTAGGCCACGTCGTGAGCGCAGAAGTCGTTCTGTCCGACCCTGAGAAGACTTCTGCCGTCGCATTGTTCCCTGCTCCCACCGACAAGAAGACCGTACGACAGTTTCTGGGACTGTGCGCCTATTATAGACGCTTTGTGGAGCAATTTTCCAAAATCGCCGAACCACTCACTTGACTCACGCGTGACGATGTCCCGTTTACGTGGACGGAAGAGCAGCAGTGTGCTTTTGAAGAGCTTCAAGGTCGCCTGCAGTCGGCACCAGTTCTCGCACACTTCGACGAGCTCGCAGAGACCGAGATCCACACTGATGCTAGCAACGTTGGCCTCGGAGCTCTTTTAGTCCAGTGGCAAGATGGAGTCGAACGGGTGATTGCGTATGCCAGCCGCTCACTGTCCAAAGCAGAGACTGACTATTCGACCACGGAAAAAGAGTGTCTCGCAATCATTTGGGCCGCCATCAAGTTTCGCCCCTACCTTTACGGGAGGCCTTTCAAGGTGGTCACCGACCACCATTCTCTATGCTGGTTGGCCACCCTCAAAGACCCTTCCGGGCGTCTCGCGCGCTGGAGCCTGAGACTTCAGGAATTCGAAATCACCGTCGTGCACAAGTCGGGGCGAAAACACAACGACGCGGACTGTCTCTCTCGTGCTCCTGTTGACCCTGCTCCGCAAACCGATGAAATGGACGACGCATTTCTCGGAGCTATTGACACTGCGATCATGGCCCAACAGCAACGAACAGACCCCGAGCTTTTATTGAGCACCTGGAAGGCCGTGATACACCTGTACCAACCGCATTTTCTCGAAGTCAAGGTTCTTTCTGCTTAAAAGACGCTGTTCTGTACAAGAAAAATTTCCAGCCAATCGCGGCTTCATACGTTCTTGACATTCCGACCGCCCTTCGCGACGAAATTCTTTACGCCAGCCACGACGAGCCAACGTCGGGACACCTTGGTTTTGCCCGCACACTCGCGAGAGTCCGTAAGAAGTACTACTGGCCTCGAATGTACGCTGCTGTACACCATTACGTAAGGACATGCCGCGAGTGCCAGCGGCGTAAGACGCCGCCTGTGAAACCCGCGGGCCTTCTTCAACCAATTGACCCGCCGTCAGCACCATTTGAACAAATCGGAATGGACTTGTTGGGCCCTTTCCCAACCTCGTCCTCAGGTAACAAATGGATCATCGTTGCGACGGACTACCTGACGCGGTACGCCGAGACACGCGCACTCCCCCAAGGAACCGCATTAGAGGTGGCAAAGTTCTTCGTCGACACCGTCGTCTTGCGTCATGGCGCCCCAAAAGTGGTTATAACAGATCGTGGTACCGCATTCACAGCTCAGCTCACGCAAGACGTCATGAGGCTAAGTCAGACGACTCACAGAAAAACTACAGCATATCACCCGCAAACTAACGGCCTCACAGAGCGCCTCAACAAGACAATCGCCGATATGCTGTGCATGTACGTGGACGTCCAACACAGGACATGGGATGAGATTCTTTCCTACATCACGTTCGCGTATAATACAGCCCCACAGGAAACAACGGGTTTCACGCCATTTCGACTAGTGTACGGACGCGAGGCAACGACTACGTTGGACGCCATGCTGCCTCACTTCCCGGACATGATGGATGCCGACGCTGATATCTTCGCGCAACGTGCAGAAGAAGCTCGTCAACTGGCGAGAGTACGAATCCGCCGACAGCAGCTTGTCGACGCCCGCCGCTACAACCTGCGCCGCCGGGACGTCCGATTTCGACCGGGGGATCAAGTATGGGTTTGGACACCTATCCGGCGTCGAGGACTCAGTGAAAAACTTTTGCGAAAGTACTTCGGCCCCTACAAGGTTCTTCGTCGCCTGAGTGACCTCACATACGAAGTCAATCCGGATAGTGGACATCTTTCCTTCCGACGCTCCGCACGCCCTGAGGTCGTCCACGTGGTCCGGCTAAAGCCCTACTACGCCAGACAGTAGACACTTCTCACTCTGCATTTATTTTTGTTTAAGCATCGGGACGATGCTTCATCGGAAGGGGAGGGCAGTGCCACGCGCTAGACACACCGGCGGATGGCACACGCTATCGCATTAAGATAAGCACGTGACATTGGGCAGTGCCGCACACCAGACACACGGGCCGGTCGCACGAGCGTCTTGCGCTCGTGCCATCGCGTGACTGTGAGCTTTGTTTTTTGGGACATTCTTTTCATCTACTCCGCTGGGACTTGACACTGAAGTGAAAAAGTTAAAGTTCTTGTTTTTCCACGAAGCCGAACACTTTTTGTGTTGCACATAAAGTCGTGACAATATATATATATATATCATGATGGTGTTTAGTGATCTTCAAACGGGAACCGTGGTCTTGTAACGCTACCCATGGACAGATGTGTTCGCACCCAGCTATCGGTATTGTCGTCCGGCAAAAAAAAAGACTAATCCCTTTTGACTCGACTTACTACGTACTATACACCTAATCTGACCATAGTCAACGATATAGGTTATATGAACAATTACGATAATATGAACAAACACAGTTACTGCAGGTCCGAATCCCACTTCGCACGATTTTCAGAGAACTTTGCATTTCGTTTCACCCGAAGCCTACACCAGCCGACTGTACCAGTCCGATAATAATAATAATAGTAATAATTGTGAGAGTCATCCTCATCATAATAATAATATTAATAAGAAGGAAAAATGAAGAATGTTTACAAATCTCTGTAACGCGAAATTAGAGCGCAGCTCTTGAGGAGGAGGAGGGGAGGCTACGGAGGGGCAGGTATGCCTTTCCTCCTTTTCCGTACCCTCTCCTCCTCCCCCCGTCCTCTGCTCCTCGTCCTCCTCTCCTACCTCCTTCATTTTCTTCCCCTCCTCCTTCAGCCCCTCCTCCTCCTCCTCCTCCTTCGTACGTGACGTTAATTTTCCCGCTACATCTAGCGGAGAAACTGAATTTGTTCATGGAGAAACTGAATTTGTTCATAGGTAACGTGACACCAATCGATGTAACATCATTTTCCCCGCTAGATTTAGGGGGAAAACTGATTTGGTGTTGAAGACGTTACGTCAATTTTCTCGCTAAAGTTATTGTGGTCACGCCGTCGGCGACGCCGCGAAACCCGGGAACGGGCGCCTAAGAGCTGCGCTCTAATAATAATATTACTACTGATGATCTTTAATGACTCTGGAGAGCCGGTTCTCATCCTGGACCAAGTCAAGTTGCAGATAAACGGCAGTGGAGCCTATAATCAAGCAGCGGCAACATCGCATCGTTACGGTGTTAATCGCCTTGCGCGCTTTTAATCCCCGACTGAACCAATCAGGCACAATATGTACGTTGCGATCCGGCGCTTTTTTTTTTTTTTTTTTGCGTGATCGATTTAGCCGGTAATAGCACACCCCTAGAGAAAACGAGCTCCATCACGTCGCACTTTTTGCTCTGCTTAATTGGCGCCAAATGATTTTAGCGTCGCCCGCTGTCGGACTTGAGGTGAAAACGAGTCTAGGTTACTCTGGGTACATCTGACCTACTCAAAAGCACTTCAAACGTCAGCGGCGGAGAGACTCGTTTGCACCCGTGCCAACTCGCCCGGGGAAAAGTTGACATTAATCTTTCCTCGTCAATGTCACGTTGCAGCGTGGGTCAGCGGCAGCTCGTGTGCCTCGCCCGTGCACTGATTCGAATGCCTCGAGTTCTGATCCTGGACGAAGCCACGTCGCAGATGGACGGCGACACGGACCGCCTGATTCAGGCAACGCTCCGCGAGAGCTTCGTGCGCTGCACGGTGCTGGCCATCGCACATCGAATCCATACCGTGCTCGACTACGACAAGTAAGTGTACCGTGTAACCTTCTTAGTGTTATCGGTGTTAACACTCCGTCAGCACGGCAGAGAAAAAATCCTGACTTGGCCCAAGTTTGGCGATCTTATGGTCCTTTACAACTTGGACGGGAAATGGTCTTGCTCCATAACGTTGGTAGGGCCGAAACACTTTTCTTTAAAATAACTAGCCAAAAGAAACGCCAGGTCTAACTTGCTTTTCGGGTTTGTCAGCTAAGTTCTGAGGCGTTAGACATAAGCCAAAGATGCCAAGTGACGACTGAAAAACCAGCAGTCAGGCTTGATTTTGGCATTTGCTTAGACACCGTGGCCCCAAGCTTCCCGATAATAGCAGAACATTCGGGAAGTAAGGCCTAACTATGGCACTTGTCTGGCGATTTAGGGCCAAGATGCCATATAAAAACGAAACATTCAGGCAGTGAAGTCTAAAGGCCCGTTCACACTTGCGACTTTGTGCAGTCGCTGGAGCGCCTGGAGCGACTAGCGTCAAGCGACTGGCAACCACTAGTGTACACACCTGATTGGGCGACCGACGAGTCGTCAAACTCGCTTCCAACTTAACGAATAATAATCAACATCTTCCTGAGCCGGCTAAACGGTTTTTCTGATCAAAGGCACCGGCAGGTAAAAACAAAAACAAAAAAACTCAATAGTGCTTCGGAAGGTAAAACAACGGCTTAATGTGCGCTCCCTCAACCGTGATATTATGCGTACCTCCCATGCCGAAAATGTCGCCGATCTCGTTCAAGGCCTGCGGCTTTTTGTCCCAAACCTTGTGGTCGGGGTGCCGCTTATTGTGAAGAAACGGTAGTCTTTGACAGCATTAATAAGATCTTCCGCAGAGAACTCCATGCGTGCCAGTTACCGCCGCCGTGCGCGATTCGCAGTTTCCCGCTGGAAGCAGTGCCGGATGTAAACAAACGCACGCATCACTTCCAACGAGACTGTGATTGGCTCCGCCGTCCAGGGACTCGTTTTTGTGACTTGAAAAATCGGTCAGGGAGCGACTGTCCGAAACCAGTCGCAAGTCGCTGGTAGCTCCAGCGACTGTCGCAAGTGTGAACAGGCCTTTATGAGAGACGAGACCTGTTGAAACCTCTTCAAATTTCTTAGGACGAGGGAACACACTGGCATTCTGGCGCCATCTATGCGGTGACCCTGAAACTGCATTTCACAAGAGCGAAGGTTTTGCGGGATTTCCGAGGCCAAATGTGCGTAATATTTATAAGAAAGGCTCGTTTATAACGTTGACAACAGTTTTTCGAGCCAAGAAAGAAAGTATAATGCGCGAGAGAAATAGAAATTATGCCGGACCACCGCCGCTACCCAATAGATGGCGCCAGTGTGTCCTCTCGATGTAAGAGGTTTCAAGGCACCTAGTTCTAAGATGTTGCGAGCGTGTGAACGGGCCTTTAGGGTAAATGTCATTTAAGCAGCGCCACACGGCAACTCAAATGGCATTTAGCGTAAAGGTCCTTTTCGTGAACCTGAGTTCCCACAACCCCTTTACGGTTGCTAAAGGTGCACTCTCGTAGGCAGCGGTCTACACTAGAGAAGCGAATTGAAATAAAAGTTCGTACCGATACCTAAAATGAAAGTTTTTTTTTTTTTGTCTTTTTGTTATTGAAAAGCAGCATGATTCTGGTATATTATGTACAGACCTCGCTCTACTACTAGTTGTCTGTACTCACGGCCCATGGTATCTAGTAAGCCTCGTCGTCCCGCTGCTCGCATCGTCCGCTTCAGCAACTCAGTTTTCCTCCTCTCGATTTTCCTTACAACCAGGGCCGTAACCAGGGGGGGGGGGGGGTTAGGGGGTTCTGACCCCCCCCGAAATTTTTTTCTGGGTACGGCCCTGGTCGGTGCACCTGCAGCCAGCCGATTTTAAACTCCACCTCTGCGCACGCGCAGTGGCGCCGGTCGGCTACCGGGTACCAGACCGGGACCGGTTCTCCGGTTTGCTGTAACTCTCCATTATATGCCACCGATGCACATGATTCATAGGCAAAAATAAGACGATAGACACTTTCAAAATGGCCGCCGTTGTCCCCGAACCCCCCCCCCCCCCCCCCCCCCGAAATTTTTTTCTGGGTACGGCCCTGCAGTTACAACCATGGTCATTTAGCTTTTATTTCTATTCTTTATATTTTATCAACCTTTAATAGTGCATTACTCACTGTACTGTATATATTTCTGCATTTCACTCTCGCGTCGTGCGATATGTCGAACGGCGGAGTAGCGTCCAGGAGTATAGGAAGGGGTCGCCGCGTTTCCACTGGAGCGTTGAGGCGACCGGGGAACTGATATAATTTTGGGATAATCTCGAGCACGACGCCGAACTGAACAGGGCAACTGCGTAGCAGAAACGCAGAAAGGAGCGGGAGCACAGAGCAGTGTTAGGACTGCGTGAGCGGGAGACGCTCAGGGCTGCCGCTAATTGCCAAAAAAAACACTTTGCTTGTGCTTAAAGTGGACTTCGTTGTAATCATTCGACTTAACTCTTCGTTTTGTCTTTTTTAATATTTTGTTTCCTTAACAAAGACTTAAAAAATTATTTATCGCCAAAATTATATTTTTCTGGCGTGAACGCGATTTATGCATTTGAACGAGCAACGAGACTTCAATCGCTGTAAACATCGTCTAAATGACATTTACTTGCGCTGTCTCGCAAGGCAGAACTTAAAAGACATTTGAAAATCCTAAAGGACTTTGGCGTAAAGGTCATTTTAGGTGCCCGTCTGACAGAGGCATCACTCTGACACTTGTGTGGTGATTTAGGCTTGAAGATGCCATGCGAAAACCAAACATCTATTTAGTTAGGCCTAAATCTGGCCAACGAATAAAAGGTTTGGTGATAACTTGTATTCTTTGAGCTTACTGAGCCCTAAATTGTCAGTCAAAAATCAAGTTGCGTAAAAATAAATGTGTTACTGGGCAAGCACCATATACCCTAAAGGTGGTTGCGTGAAAAAAAAAATAGAGATAGTCCACGCATGAAAGAAAAGGCCTACACTGTAAAGCAAGCAGCCCAAAACTCTCCAATCACATCTATAAATGAAATTTATTTACCGGTTTTATAGCTATACTAGAGTGTTTCTTTATGGCAAAGCAAAAATTAACAAGTCGGCGTTCCTCTTTTTTTTTTTTTTTTTTTGTAGCTGGCGAACTGTTGATTTGCGCAGATTGGACAAGGGCCATTGAATCAAGCTATACAAATTAATTTAATTTAGTTTTAAAACATGTAATTGCAAGCAAATGACGTAATTGCCGTGAGTATATGCTTCTTGCTGACGCCGCATAAAGTGTCGTGTAGAAGAGCAACTAAACATTAAATTATTTAGAAACTTTCTTCATCATAAATGCTAGGGCGCCCTATTCAACTTTATGTATAAAATTGAATTCTGGTCTCCTTTTTCAGGATCCTGGTTATGAGCGATGGCAGCGTCCTGGAGTATGGATCAGTCACGCAACTTCTCTCCAACCCGGCAACGATGTTCAGGAGCATGGCTCAAAGCGCAGGCGTCGTTCCATCACTCGACAGCGAGCAAAAGAAGATCTCTAGAACTAAACTCTGACACTCACCGCGTTTTTTTTATTAAGAAAGAGCCTCAATTGAATTTCTTGAACATTACATTCATAAAAAAAAGGCCAAGAAAAACGTTGCGGTTGGAAACCTTAAAAAGCCCTTCAGAAACGTTATACACTGCTCTTGGTTGTAAAAATAGTACAGAAGTACAAGAACAAATAAAAATTCATAGTGCGAACACAAGCTAAAACATAAAAAGCAAAATACACTATAATTATATGTAAAAAAACACGACGTTTGTAAAATTTAATATTTATCTAGAAAATTTAGTAATTTAGGATGTGCACAGTAGCATTTTATATTTGAAGCTGGGTGATTCCATGCTAGAGACGCCGCAATTTTTTTATATCTGGGATTCGTATGGAAAAAAAATAATTTGGATAAGGAAACCCCTGAACTCCAAGAAAAGTATTTTTGTGCAAAAAATGTTTTTATTACCGCTAATATTATTCTAGAAATTTATGGATTTCCCAAAAAAACCGTGCAGTCAAAAAGAATGTTGTAAAAAAACGCATGCGTCCGACACAAATATAAGTGGGCGCCTAATTGCTTAATAACTTGCCCTATTTTACATTAAAACACAAGCATTGAAAGCCGCCATTTTGAGTCCAAAGAAAAGCTCCAAGAAAAATAATTTTGATACTCCTTTATTTATTTTAATAAACTTGGAGTCCGGTGCAACCTACAATACCTTTTTTTATTGCTCTCATAAAACTAATAATTGAATTACACATGTAAAATTTTAAAAGCCTCGTTTTTTGCGTTTTGAATAAATGACACAAATCTCCAGTTTATGCAGAAACGGCCTTATTGAGAGCCAGAAAAAGCAATGTGGGCATTGGTCCCGCTACTTTCGAGATAAATCTACCTCATGTCTTCAACGTATCAAAAAATTAAAGAAATACTTCTTGTCGTTGCTGAAATATATATATATATATATATATATATATATATATATATATATTTCTTTCTTTTTTTTTAACGAATTTTTTGATTATGCCGTTAGGCGCCCACCTCGTTGGTGACGCACGCTGGCATTCGACTTCGAGGTGTCAACGGTGTGAGAAGCCACCGCAAGGGCTTCACCGCTCTCCTGAATACACATTTTATTGAATTAAAGTGGACGTTATTCTAACTTCCATGCATCCGTATCCTCTTTACGCCACGTAGTAATACTGGCGTCTTCATTTTATTCTCCTTCTGCCCAGGTAACTGCCGACGAGCGCAGGCCTTCATTTCTGCTTCCTGTACATGGGAGCGCATACTACGGATCGGCCTTGTCTGTTGTATGTTCAGATGTAAAAACAATTCAGAACGGATAGCCCTTGTGGGTTTCTTTTACGGAGATCCCTCTACTAATAATCCCGCCCGATCGGTATGCGCTCCGCCCGTCACCCAGGGAGTTACACACTGCAACGAGAAGACAGCGAATGGGTTTACTGTACCTCTCGGTTGACGTTCGTCGAGAGCCGGTAGTCCGGGCCCGTCGACCCTTGTTGTCGCCCGTCGATCAGAGCTCACAGTCGGGGTCCGTATCCAGGCCTGCGGATCGCCTTTCCCACGCCAGCGCTGCGTAGGCCGGCTGTCCCGGGCTATCAATGCCCGAGTCTCGCTGCGGAACCACCCCGGGATCGTCAAAGCCCAGGTCATACGGCCCGGGCTCGCCGTTTCCACCGGTCTTGCTCCAGACCTCGCTGGTGGACCGCTCCGGGGATCGTTATGGGCCAGGCTAGGCAGCCTGGCTTCGACGTTCCTTGTCCAGCTTCCAGCCTCGCTCAGCACGCAATGTCTCGCGCCAGCTCGTGTCTTCTCCGCCGACCGCCTGTCACGTGTCCTCTGCCTCGTCTTTTACCCCCGGCTCCCACACTCTCCCCCCCTCAAGGCCCGGACTTCGGGGGACTTCATGAGCCTCAGGGAGCCGCTGGGCTTCATGGGCGGCCGCTGTTGCTGTTGCCGGAGTGGCCACGTTGCAGCGTCCGAAAGCGGCGTGGGCGGTGGTGGCTAGCGAAGCCGGCAGACAATGCCGACCTGTATGTCGCTCGCTGTCCCACTCACCGCGATGCAGCAGGGGGCTTGCTCTAAACTGGTCCGGCCGATGCAGACGGACTTGCCCCGTTCCGCTTAGAGGTCACAGCGGGCTTAGAACTGCCCGCCTGAACCGTTCGTCAGGCCGAACAACTGTCAGCCACCCTGAGCACTTGGGAAAACGAATGGACCCGTCTTCCCTCCCGGTGGGCTTCCTGGGTTACGCCGTCTATGGCCATCTCTCCAGGAAGCTACTCTGCGCAGAACAAAGTGTTAAAACAACACACAACGAACAAATACTCTGCCGCAGATTGTAGCAGTGACCATAGCCTCCACCGCCAAATTGCTTGCCGACGGGTTCGTCCACCATGTGGCTAACTCAGCAATTCTGCATCCCAGATCTCGCTCCTGGGTCGCCAAGAACACGGGATTTCTTGTGTCCTATCACAACCTCATGTTATACGTGTTCCCCATCGCGACAACGGTAGTATCCTTTCAAGTCAGCGATGTGAACCGGGCAAGCCTCCTCGTTTGTATCTCGCCGAGTAAGCCTAGACGTAAGACACGACGCTCGCGTCTTTTTACCTCGGGTGCCCTTCTCACCTCGGAGCAAGCGATACGGCAAAACCACTAGCTGCGTTGCTCAAAGCGTGAGTTTCCTTCAGAACAGGTAACGATGGCGTAAACCTAGTCCATCTTTTGAGCTAGCGAAGGGATCCAAACCCTGTGGGCGGGACGGCCATATTCCATAGCCGCGCTCCGAAACGGCTACATATACCATGTGGTACTCGATGTAATCGTCAGCGTCCCGTTCCGTCCACGTGTCTACGAGCTCTAGGGACTGCTCGGTCCTCGGAGGGGCAGCAGCTCAGCGAGCAAACCCGCTTAAACCGTTTACGCCTCAAGGCAAGCTGGACAACTACAAGCCACCTAAATGGCTACCGCCTCATCCCGGGCCAGGTCGTGACGCGACATAACTTATTAAAAGTCTTGCTGTCACTGCCACGACCGGCCAGAGTGAAGTCGAGAAATTATCCTATAAATCGCCTCTGCCCTTCATGGATTGTTGGAGTGAAGCGAAGCAACTAGCCGTCTTGGCCCAGCGGTTACAAATCATACTGCTCCTTAACTCGCCTGCCAGCGTTCCCGGTGTCAACTGCAATTTACGCCAGTTTACCCAACACCCGCTGACAATCTCGTCCGCCAGTGTTCCCGGTGTCGACTGCAATTCCCGCAATCTTTCCGACACCCACTGACAAAAACCCATCTGCACCCCGAGCCTCGACAAGCGCTTACTGGCTCACCGCATCACTCCAAGCCTAAATCCCAAATATTCAATACATCCTGGCTGTTTCCCCTCCTGCCAGTCGCTATCCTGCCTTCCAGCGAACCTGCCGTGCCTCTCCTCTGCCTCCGAAGACGACTTTCTTACATCTTAACCGCGCTCCTCGTGTTCCCCCCGGTTACGGCACCTTCTGCCAACCACTATTCTGGGGTACCCGCGAAAGCGCGTCCGCAACCTCGTCCTTCGAGACCTTCAAGTACTCGATTCGAGGAGACACCTGCTGAGCTCTGCTGTGAGACAAGTCACCAAAATTCCAACATGCTTTGTCTCAACGGGCATCGTTAGCGTTACTGAACAACCCGCTCAACGAATCGTGGGACTCTCTGGGGACGACTAGAAGCAGAGGCATACCGAACGGGCCCCACGTTGGATGCGCCATTTTAATGTGGGGTTCTTTATGGAGGTCGCTCTACTAATAATCCGGCCCGATCGGTATGCGCTCCGCCCGTCACCCAGGGAGTGACATACAGCAACGAGAAGACAGCGAATGGGTTTACTGTACCTCTCGGTTGCCCGTCGTCGAGAGCCAGTAGTCCGGGCCTGCCGGCCCTTGTTGTCGCCCGTCGATCAGAGCTCACAGTCGGAGTCCGTGTCCAGGCCTGCGGATCGCCTTTCCCATGCCAGCGCTGCGTAGGCTGGCTGTCCCGGGCTATCAATGCCCGAGTCTCGCTGCGGAACCACCCCGGGATCGTCATAGCCCAGGTCATATGGCCCGGGCTTGCCGTTTCCACCGGTCTTGCTCCAGACCTCGCTGGTGGACCGCGCCAGGGTTCGATGGGCCAGGCCAGGCAGCCCCGGCTCCGTCGTTCCTTGTCCAGCTACCAGCCTCGCTCAGCTCGCACTGTCTCGCGCCAGGTCTTGTCTTCTCCGCCGACCGCCTGTCACGTGCCGTCTGCCTCGTCTTTCACCCCCGGCTCCCACACCCTTCACCGATGGATTAAGTGAAAATGAAATAATGTATCCTACCTTTTACGGTGGTTGGGACCACGAACTGAATCCATGTTAATTATATAACATGTAAACAAAGATTACAGAAAATCGTTGTTGATAGGCACACAAATAGAAATGGTGATGATGATGATGATCATGATAATGACGATGATTACGATTTGTTATCAACTCATAATATGGTTTCCAAAACGGCACACCTAAATTACTAAAAAAGATTTGACAATTTCTTTTGGGATCAGTGTTGTCAACCTCCGCGGTCGTTTCTTTCCCGATTTTTATTGAACCATTCAATAGCTTTTCCTACATCTTCAGAAATTATGTTCATTTGCGTCAGTATTGACCTTGTCTTTATGGAGTAGCTTAAAAATATGTTTTTGTAGTTGAGTGGCCATTTAAAAGTTAATTTTGATTCTATGGAACGATTTCACATCATAAAACTGATCAGTAAAATCTTCAAAGGAAGCTTAGTGAAGCTCCAAAAACAAAGTTAACTGAACATATAAAACTCATTCATAACAATAAAAGCAAGTAAGGATATAACTGCCAGTTCGACATAAACGGTTAAAACGCTTTGCACAAAGATAGGGTGCCTTGGTGTGCGTCTGTTTCAGTGGAAACAGATCATTTTTTCATCGAGGTTCAGCAGCGCGTTCAGAAGCAAACAATAT